ATGTTACAAGAGGTGGAGCACCCAAGGGAAATGCATTTTTACTGGAAGCTGCTGTAGTGCCTACTCCAGATGAGAAGTTTGCGTGGATGGATTTGGTGCTGGCAGGTGTTCTGATATGATTTTTAGGAATCAAGTCTTCCAGTTCCTTAGCAGGATCTTGAATAAGTGCATTGATAAGTTGAACTGCATATCTTGTTGATTCTGTACCACCCCTGATGAGAAAACAAAAAAAAACAAAAGTAAGATCAAAACCTTAAAAAACCAGGTAATCTTTCCCATGAAATAAACTTCTTGATTGTATCATACCGAACAAAAGTATGCTTTTAATAACATTTAATTTCCATACAGAACTAGCAATATAATTTTTCACAATTACCTTATTGTGATCATTCTCTCGCCATTCTTATCTTTTTGTTTATCCACATCAATATGGGCACCAGTAACATCTTGTATTGCAGTGATGTTGCATCCTCCTCTTCCCATTATTCTGGAAACCACTGAGGCTGGAACAGACAATTTCTTTGACCTATAAAATGAAGACTACATATGAGTTTATGAAATCAAAAGTCTTTGTCTAGTAAATGTATTTATTTAGAAAGATGTCTTAGTAAGCATGTTCATGGACATTTGTAGAATAACATTTCTCACACCTTAAAGAGGAAATTACTAGAAGCTTTTATTTTAGAACTGACCTCTTATCCTATTGAATTTAATTTAGTAAAGGTAAAAATTACATTGCCATTTAACACAAAAACTGTATTTAAATCACTCATAAGCTAAGCATTCAAATCTTCCCAAAGTATTACTTGTCAACTAAACTGCAATGACCATATGTATTGACTCTTTCTAAATTAAAATAATGCATACCATATTATTAAACTCCATACTGAATAAAAAAGGCTAGCTTATCAATATCAATAATTTATACTTATTAATAAAAAAATAAAGCCTTAGATTTGAACTACATAAAAAGCAACTCACAAATGGAGCCAGGGACTTCCACTTGTGTGTGAGGTGAGTGGAGCAGAGGCTGATCTTGGGATCTGACAAAATGGCCCAGCTGCCCCACAGGATTATCAAGGAAACCCAATGTTTGCTGGCAGAACCAGACGAGAGCAACACCCATTATTTTCATGTGGTCACCTTTCACCTTTGAATCACCTCAGGATTTCACCTTTGAGGGAGAAACCCTCAAACTCGGAACTATTCATTCCGGAAGAATAACCAATGGCAGCCCCTAAAGTAGATTTCATGATCAAAATTTATCATCTTAATGTGGACAAGCTGGGAAGAACATATTTAGATATTCAGAAAGCTAGAGCATGGAATAGGCTATATGCCATGAATAATACTTAAATCAATCTGATCAAGTATGTATCACTTCTGTTCTGCCAAGACTTCTTCCTTTTTTGTTTGCATTTAATGGATACAAAGTCTTAGAAACATTAAAAAAAAGCCTAGACATCTCAGTTCTTTGGTGATTAAGTGCACATTAGCAAATCTGTATCTTGTCCTGATTCCCTGTTGTAAAGCATGAGCAAAGACTAGCAGTATCATCTTGACTGTGTGAGACATTTAAACACAGTAGCCTCTCTCTGCTTTTATTCATTTCCCCATCATGGTTTAAGCACAAAGTAGGGTAAATGAAGGTAGTTGCAGGGGTGTAGGTGTTTTTCTTTATTTTATTTTTTTTGAAGGGGAAGGTAGTTTTAATTTGATGGGTTCCTTCCCCCCTTTTTACGGTAATCCAGTTGCACTGGTTAAAAGCAGCTAACCAATTTTTCAGAATGTGCTCTCTAGCCACGTCTAACTTTATTTAAACGATATGCTGTATATGGACAAGCTTGACTGACTGAACCAAAGTGGGACCATTAAACAAAGATCACAGTTCTCACTAATAGTGACTTTGCTATCAAGTGTGGAACCTTCCCTTTAAGAATCTTCCCTTGTGACTATTTTGTATGGTTAGTCTGTAAACTTCTGTAAATCTTATGTTTTAATAAAATATTTTTTGTTATTTTAAAGTCAAGATTTGTTGTGTCATATAAAATATGCACGCAAAATTTATGTATTGCTTCTAATTTTGCTTTAGCCTACTCTGAATTCAGCATGGGACTGCAGTTTAAAATAATAACCACATTCAAATTATTCATTAATTAATTGAGTAACCATCTCACAAGAGGAGAATCTATACGGTCTATGAAAGTTAAAAAGATGAGACTAAATCTGCTTACCTTCGTACCACTTCCTTCCACCCATCTTCTCTTTTTTGCCCCCTTTTAGGGCTAGTCAGATTTAGCTTTATGTTTGGAGAGCTTAATGGCAATGATACTGACTTGTAGCTTGCTGATAAGGAATTAGGATTCACTTCGCCTTCAAGTCTGAGAAGAGAGAAATATCAAGTCCAATAAAAGATAAATTTTAAGATAGAAATTCAAGATTATATTCCTTTATAGACAAAGTTATGCTTAAATATTTAAATTAAATTTGGCACATCAAATTATCAAGAATTCAGAAAAATAGAAACAGAGCAACAAGTCCATCATCTATTTTACTATTAAAATAGATTCAGAACCCAAAAGTTGGACTACAATCAATAAAAATGACATAGTTAAAATAAAATCAAGGTATGCTAATATCTTCAACTTCAAAATTGAATCATGTCAATTTCTAATAATCTCATTTCATAACTAGCACATGATTAGGAGAAGAGTGGTGAATTTCAGTTTTGAATATTGAAGACAGATAACGTGGTAGACCTAAATTGTTTAACACAACTTGTGCTTGAAGAATGTACTTCAAATTCTTATGCCAAGCATGAAAAAGGAAAGGTGGATGTAGCGTTAACAAATCAAAAAAATTTACCGTGTTTGAGGTTTGGAAGTGGCAGTACTCGTCTTTTCTTCTTGGGAATGGAGTAGCAGCGAGGGGTATCTCCTATCACTAGAGGAATTCACATCCATAGTGAAATTTAACTCTTGGCTTTTACCACCACTACTACTCTCACTGTTGCAATCTGTGCTGTCCAAGTTATCTGAATCACTATTTCCACCTGTACCACCACCTCTGGGTTCTCCATTTATTTTATTTTTATCTGCCTTTTGCTGTGCTAAGGATATATGTTGTTCTGGTAATATTAAATGTGCAGTGGGAGGGGTCTCTTTTGTTTTGTTCTTCTTATTTTTCCGATTGGTGCTGGGGGTTGTCACCACGTTGGCCCTTTTTTTCCCAAACACATTTGTGAATGTTGCAGATGTTGCAGAGATTCCAATTGTGGTGGTGGTGGTTGCACTAGGAGGTTCTATGGGAACTTCTTGCTCCACTGAAATTATCAAAAAGGATAAAAATCACACTGAGAGCCACAGATCTCAAAACAAATTGTGACAGAATATGACCAATAATTCATAATAATTCAGACCCTTAGGTTATATTTTCCTTTCACCAGTATTCACTTTACTGCTGTTAGAACAAATATACTATATCATATTTTGATGTCTAACTTCATATGAAACATTCACACCATTAACATTCTTAAGATCGGCAATGCTAGTCTTATGAACTAACCAAAAATCATAATACAGTTTGAATCTAAGAAATTTTCAAATAGTATTACAGAATTAGAATTCAAATAGAGCAAAATTATTCACCTACTACAAGCACTGCCAGACTGTACAATAAATAACTCTTTGAGAGTAATGAACCCCAGCCATGTATAGCTTTCAGCCTGAACCTTAGGCTAAAAATGTATTGAGGAACTGGACCTCTCCTCAGTTTCCAACTGAGGGAGGAGGGGGTAGGGAAGAACCTGAAGAGAAGCTGGCAAACCTCCTACTGTATCACTTTTAGGACACAGGTGCTGTTTTATGGGGGAACTCAAATTACAACTGAACTTCTTCAAATTATGTGCTTGCCTTCCCCCTTCTGGTTCTCTGTATCACTTTTCAATATAAAATATTTAGAAATATTTACTGTAAAAGTCAATTGTCAATTTCAGATTACAATAGTAATTGAATATTTAACTAGAATTAATTAGAGCAAAAAGCACTCAAAATGAAGTTGATAAACACAGGAGAACTTTATTACTAATTTGGATGGGTCATTTCTCACCATCTTCATCGTTTTCCTCTTCATCTTCATCCTCTGGTAGTTCTGAATTCTCCTTAGGTTTGTTTTCTTCATCTTCTTCCTGCTTCCTTTTCTGCTCCTCTTTTTTCTTTTTTCTCTTTTCTTTTCTTTTCTCTCTTTTAGCTGCAAGAGCCTGCTTTCTGCTCTCCTCTCTTGACTGCAAATAAAGTAGGTATAATCATTTTACCAATAATGCAATAATTTAAGATAAAGAATGAAATGATATTTTTGTTTGATATTATTTTTGATTTTTTTTATGATTTTGTTTATGATACATGGGGCTTCCCCTGGAGGTCAGTCTCAACACACACTTATAAAACCAATAAAAGAAGAAACAGATAAACTGAACATCATCAAAATTAAAAGTTTTTGCCCTTCAAAGGAACCATCAAGAAAGTGAAAAGACAGCTCATAAAATGTAAAAAAATTTTTGCAAATCATACATCTGGTAAGGGACTTGTATCAAGAATTTATAAAGAACTCTTACAACTCAATAATGAAAAGACAAATAACTTAATTAAAAAATGGGAAAAAAATCTGAATAGATGCTTCTCCAAAGAACATATACAAATGGCCAATAAACACGTGAAGAGATGCTCAATATCACTAGCCATAAGGGAAAAGCAAAGCAAAATCTCAATGAGATACCCACTTCACATCCACTAGGATGGCTATCATCAATAGACAGATAAAGAAAGTGTTTATAAGGAAATGGTTCTGGAACTTTCATATACTGCTGGTAGGAATATAAAAGGGTGCAGCTACTTTGGAAAATAATCTGACAGTTAAACACAGAATTACCATATGCTCTAGCGATTCCATTCCTAGATATATACCCAAGAGAGATGAAAACACATTCATACAAAAATATGTATGTGCTTTAGCAGCACATACACTAAAAATATTGGAATGATACAGAGAAGATTAGCATGGCCCATGCACAAGAATGACATGCAAATTCACGAAGCATCCCATATTAAAAAAAAAACAAACTTGAACATCTATGAAGTGAAAACAATCTAAATGTCCATCAGCTGATGAATGGATAAACAAAATGTGGTATATCTATATAACGAGATATTACTTGGCAATAAAAAGAAATGAAGAACTGATATATGCTATAACATGGATGAATCTTGAAAACATTATAAAGTGAAAAGAAGCCAGTCACAGAGAACCAAATATTGTAATGATTCCATTTATATGAAATCTCCAGAATAGGCAAATCCATAGAGACAGAAAGTAGATTGGTGGTTACCCAGGAGGGAGGGATTGAAGGGGTAGGTGGTGACATCTAAGGGATGTGGGGTTTCTTTTTGGGATAATGAAAATGTTCTAAAAACTGACTGTGGTGAGGAATGCACTATTCTGTGAATACACTAAAAGTCATTGAATTATACACTTTAAATTGGTGAATTGTATGGTATGTGAATTAAATCTTAGTAAAGCTGTTAAACAATACATTTATGTAGCATCTGTTTATTTGACTAAAATGCAGATATTGAGATCTTTATAAAATACTAACAAATTTCACAGTAAAAATACTGACAAGAGGCAATTATAGAAATTATTTTTTCCCTACTTTATATAATTATTTTAAGCCACATTCATAATTCTGATCACCTTTAGGTTTTGCTTTGGTTAGTACGAGAAGATATCTTTTTTTCAGAAAGGGGAACATGGTAGTAGTTACCTAGCATCATAATGAAAGTTGGAAACAAGTAGAAAACATATCAAGTTACTCAGATTTCTATGGAAATTATCCAAAAAGCTTCATCATAAGAATTTGTTCATAGAGTCTAGTTCTCCTGGTAATTAAGTAAAAGCATTTTCCTCAAAACTATAATTTACTATTCTGAGGCATAAATTACTTATTCTTTGACATTTTTATTTATCTAAATCAGGGGTCAGCAAACTATAGACTGTATGCCAAATCCAGACTGCTGCCTATGTTTGTATAGCCTGAAAGCTAAGATTGGCTTTTACTTTTTAAGTAGTTGAAAAAAATAATAATATTTGTGACACATGAAAATTATACAAAATTCAAATTCCAGTGTCCATAAATAAAGTTCTACTGGAACACAGCCACCATGCTCATTCATTTAGCTATTGTCTACAGATGCTTTCATGCTATGACAGCAGAGTTGAGGAGTTATGACAGAGACCATATGGCCTACAAAGCCTGAAATATTTACTATTTGGCATTTTTAAAACAAAGTTTGCCAACCCCTTATGTAAACGAGAAAGGGGCTGAAGACTAAGCTAAAAATTATTTCATCACTTTGTTGGCCTAAGAACAAATTAGCTACTTAGGGAATTGCTGATCATATTCCCGGGTAGTTACACAAAAATAAAAATTATAGACGTGGAAGGGACCTTAGCAGTCATCTAACTTCAAACTTCACTTTACTTTACAATAAACATAACTTTTTTCCCCTTCTGATTTTAACTGTAATCAAGTTTATCAAGAAGGTACTAAAATTTATTTAATTCCCTAATGATAAGACTTTAAGGTTTATATTTTTCCCCCTTATAAGCAATGCAACAATAAATGTCCTTATAAATTCACATCTTTGAGCATGTGCGTAATTATTTACCTTAGGCTAACTTTCTGGGTAAGTGGAATAGCTGGAGTAAGGGTATGCACCCGTTTTATTAATTCATTGTTGTCAAACTATCTCTGTTAATAGTTATACTAATTTACACCATATATCAAAAATCATACTAGAGTAATAACTTCTCCACACCCTTGCCATCAACAGCTATTACCAAACCTTTAAATTTTAAGCTTTGCCAATCTGGTAAAAAAAATTTAAGTACTCTATTACTGTACATTTCTGTTTATTCATGAAGTGTGGCACTCTCCATTATTTATTGAACATTTGTATTTCCTTTTCTGTGAATTGCCCATTCATGTGATCATTTTTTTATTCTGAGCAAGTTATCTTTTTATCATTGATTTGTAAGCTATTTTCTGTTCTCAGCTTACAAATTTTGCTTTTTTAAAACTAAGAATTGGTGTCAAAATTTTAGCATCTCTCAAAATGATCATATTTTTTTCTTAATCATCAACAAATTATCTTCATGTTATGCTATATCCCGCATTCCTATAATAACTCTTGATCATGGTGTTTGTTCTTCTAATATAACTTCTACAATCAATAACATCATTCTCATTTTCCAGGTAAGCAGCCTGAGCCTCAGAAAAACGATCTTGTTTGTTAAATTTTTTCCATTATACCACACATCCTAGGATACTAGACACTTACTCTTTAATTAAGGATCTAATAAACCACTTATAGCCCAGATCTTATAATAAACAAAAGATTTCCAATGTTTTACTCAATTTCTTCTCAAACTAATGTTAAAACCACTGCCTAAGTTTTAACATTAAAACCACTTAGGCAGTGGTTTTAACCACATTTGGTAAACTGTGGTCTGCTCAAAAAGTAGTCTCTCATCTATAAAGTTCAAAATACTTTTTATGAGCAAAAAGTCAGAATTAAAAAATTGATGGTGGTTCGACAGTCTATTAATCATTTCTTTTGAAAGAGGTTTTGTTAACAAGATTATGGGTCATATAGGTGGCAAATTTATTCTAGCAGATTTTCAACACTTTCTAATAAGGAAAATTATTTTTCCCACTCACCTTTTCCAGATCAAGTTCCTTTAAAAGAATACTTGCATTCTTATTTGCTTCTGCAGCCTGCTGGTCTTTAGCCTTCACAATTGTCTCAACACACTGGTGACATTTTTTCAACAGTTCCTATAGCAGAAAATGTAATTATATATATATCGCAACACATAACATAAACAAGCCAAATAAAACTTGAGCTGATGAGCATACCTAAGTCCAGGGCTTAAAGCTCAATCAATTGAAAATTCACTAAACCAAATCAAGCTATCTTTGAGTCTGGTCATGTTTCAGTCTTTCATCAAAATAAGGTACCATTTCCTTAAAAGTTTATGTGTTCTCAGAAAACTTTCTATCAGGCTAATAGTCTAGTAATAAACTTTAGCTGCAGTCACTGTAATTATGGTCCAAAATAGAAATCGCAAAATAATTTATCAAAAGTATTATACCCATTCTCCATTTGCAAATGGAGAAACAAACACAGAACAATCAGGTTATCAGTCTTATGGAGGACAAAAAGAACAGATTGCTAGTGGCACAATTTGGCATATAATTCCACAAAGAACAAAAATGTGTTTCAACAGTTTATTAAACCTACCTTATCTGTAATTGTTGCTATGTATCTCATGCATTCTATATCAGAAGGGAATTGATTGACTTCCTTCACCAAATATTGAACAACTTTTACATGACCCTGTAAGGATTACAACAAAAAATACACAAAAGAATCCCTTGAAAATTTGCCCATATGCTTAAAAACTTAAGAGTAAAAGGTATAGTAACACATCCAGAGTTTACTAAACTTAAAATGGAAATTATGAAAATTAGAACAATGTTGAGTTTATAAACAGAAAAGATAAGTACAACATGCTCAGGAATATATGGTAGGTCAAAAGACGTTTCTCTTTAATTTAATCTGCTCACTTCCCACTGAAAGTAGAAAAACTTCTGTAGAAAAACAATATCTCTTAGAATAAATCTATTAATAAAATAAAAATTGGTGACATGAAATGAATCTCAGTATAAACGGTAAATTAGTCCTAAAACAAAAAGGATGTTCTAGATTTCAAAGCATTATTTTGGTTCTATCTTACTAAATAAACAAGGTGGACTGTCACATTGATCTGAGTCCTATGACTTGAATCAGGTAAAACACTTTCTAAATGCCTTTATCAGGGGCTGAATGATCTGTAATCAATTCCATGTACACCTATTTTAACCTAAGCAAATTGCATAGTTTCCCCTCCTAATAAGGTTCTAAAACGTCTTTGAGAATTAGCCTGATGGTGACAAAAGTCAGAAAAGTGGTTGCCTCTGGGGCAGGCAATTAACTGAGAATGGGCGTGATGGAACTTTCTAGGATTATGGAAGTATTTTATATCTGTAAGGGGTGTAGGTTACATGGGTGTATGCATTTTTGAAAGCTCAAACTATCAAACTTAGATTTGTGCATTTCACCATATATAAATCATACTTCAATTAAAAAGAAAGAAAAAAATTGGTAAAAAGAATTAAGCCTAGAAAATATCTTAAGATTTTCTTTTAAGACACAACTTATACTGCTTTCATTCAATAGCTATTTAGTGACCACCTGGTATGTGTCAGGTACTGTGCTAAACAACTGGGTATGAACAGTAGTGAAAAAGACAGTCATGAATCTTGGTCTTCATGGATCTTCCAGTCTAGCTGGGGAGAGAGGCATTAAAAAAGTAAATACCATATGATTTCACTCATATGTGGAAGATAAACATATATATAAGGAGAATACATTGGTGCCTATCAGAGGAGAAAGGGGTCGGGGGAGGGTGAAAAGGTTAAAGGGGCACATATGTATGGTGATAAATATAACTATACTGTTGGTGGTGAACACGATGCAGTCTATACAGAAACTGAAATATAGTGATGTACACCTGAAATTTACACAATGCTGTAAGCCAATATGATCCCAATAAAATAATTTTTTTTAAAGTAAATACATATTTGAGTGTATAATTACAAATTGGGATAAGGAAAATAATAGCGTACTATAAAAGAGAACAAGAGGACCTTTTCAAATTGGGTGTTAGGGAAGGATTCTCTTAGAAGTGACATTTAAAATGGGAGCTAGAGGATGAATAGAAGTGAGCCAGGTGAAAAGCAAGGGAAAGAACATTTCAAGAAAAAAGAAACCAGTGAGCAAAGGCCCTTGGGCAGTTAAAAATTTAGTGCATTCTAGGCCAGTGGCTAAAACACAGTGAGCAAAAGGGAAGGGTAGCATAAACGATTGGTCTGGAGTGGCTAGCATGAGCCAAATCATACAGGCCTCTGTAAGCTATGTTAAGTAGTTTATAGTTTATCATAATTGCAA